AAAGATGAAACCTTCTACTATCTGGCAGAATGTAAAATGTACTAAGGAATCATTAAGAGAGAAATGTATCAATAATTCTAACTATAAAAACACCAAATTACATTAGGAATGATACTGTATAAGATCTCATTAAGGCTTACAAATAGAATCATGCTACTAAGAGAACGAGATTTATCATTAAGTTCAGATCTAGAAAAGATCCGTACCAAAGCATTCCAGTTGAAGCCAGAGGACCAAAACAGGAATAGTATATTCCTCAAACACATACCGTAAAGATAATTGCCAGTGAGAAAGTTCCAGAAATAAGACATAACGACAATTGCCAGTGAGAAAGTTCCAGAAATAAGACATGATTTACAATAAATTGAGTTTGCATTCTATCGAATTATAAAAGAAAAAGTTAGAAGATAACATAGTTTCTCTTGATCGAGAAGTCTAACTTTGGGACTGAATCATGGGATCTGCTTGACCTTATTAATTTCAAGGGGGTTGCCGGTAAAGTTATATTTGTACACACTCGAATGTAAAATTATATAACTGCCGACATAACTCTAAATTTAGTTTATAATAAATTAATATATACTTGTACAGTAATAGTTACCGGTAGTTTTGGTTTTTGTGCGATGTATACGTGCATATAGTTTAACCTACATTTTGTATAAATATACCGATACGATTCAAGTCATTTTTAAAATTGTACACTTTCCATAAAAACCCACCATGAAAGGTAAACCCAAATTTATTCTCTAAATTTTTCCTTTAAAAACCGATATATATGAACATGTTTTTTTACACGTGAAAATAGCATTACGAGACGTTACTCGCAGTATTACTTCTGCTCATTCTATCGGTGAGAAAAAACTCGTATTAAAGGTCTTTTATAGAATGAACTATCTTCAAAATTCTTAGAATTATTTTATCATTTAGTGAATAATGATACAAAACATTTGAATAAATTAATTACTTCTGAACGTGGAGTATGGAATTCCTTTAGCACTTTGGCGTACGACCAGAATGAGGCCGCAAAATATTTGTCAGTTTGGGGAAAAAGTGAAGATATCGACTTAAGTGATGTAACCGAGAAATTGGGATATTTGATTACAAAGTTAGCTGAAGCCGAAGGAGTATTAGGTAATTTTAACCTTTTTTATCTGAAGAAAGAACATAAATCCTAAATAATACATATTATGAATTTTTTTACATACAATTATCTAGCAAATCACTATTCTCAATATCGTGCGCATTTAAAAG